AGTGCTCAGAGGTGGTTTGTTTTCCTGCAAATATTTTTTCACACTGGGGCGAAAAACTTCATCCATCCACTCTATAAAGAACCGCCTCATCAACCAAGCTTTAGTACTGGCGTTCCACATCACTCTTAACTTGCTTTTTATCACTTTCTCTGTAGAAGATTAGGTTTTAAATCCCCACTAGCATTCCCACAAACCAACAGAATTATCCTGTCCTTCACAGGCTTGTACCCTGGCAATGAATGCCTTCTCTTCTTGAGTGATATAGGTTCTGTTAGGCATTTTCTTCCAGAACAAACCAGTCTTATCACAGTTAAACACTTATCGGGGGACAACACCCTCAGCCTCTACATAATCCCTAAATTCAGTGACAAAGTTTTTGGCAGCTTCTTTGTTGGCACTGGCTGCCTCTCCATGCCTCACCACCCTATGAACACCAGTTCTCTTTTTAAATTTATCAAACCATCCACGGCTGGCATTAAACACTTCAATGCTCCTACCACTTGCTCTGGACTTGCCTTTTTAACAGATCAGCATGCAATTGCCTAGATTTCTCACAAATTATTGCCTAAGAAATGCTGTCACCCACTAACTTTCTTTCATTAATCCACATGTAAAGCAATTTTTCAACTTCTTCCAATGTCTGTGATCGTTGCTTACGCACAGGCTTTATGCCTTTAGCAATACTTGCTGCTTTAACCACTTCCTTATTTCTCACTATCATCGAGATCATCATTCTCAGAATCTTGAACATAAGAGCGATTATCAGTCACACCTATACCACTCTCATACTTAGCTATGATCTCTTTTTCTCTTTTTGATTTTGGTTCTTATTAACTGTCTTTTAGGCTTAGTGGTATTACTCTTAATCTTTTTGCATCCCATGAGAATCACTTAAAATGCACAAAAGTACAAGATAGTAACAACAAATATGTAGGGGTTCTGTACTGTTTGCAAGATACCATGAGACTGAAGTGTTGACCTCTGTTTCACTGCAAGAGAGGGGTGATGAGTGGCAAGCAAGTGATGATTGATGAAGCATTTTCTCTTGCAGGGTGGTGGTGTGACTCATGCAAGTTCTAGCAAATGCAATGAGTCCTGAGAATGCACTGAGTGCTGAAACATTTTTTTCCTCATCGAAATGCAACAAATACCAGGCTTGACGAGGTCTGAAGCTGACAAGAACTGAAGTATGACTGTATAAGGTTATGTTCCTGTACTATTATTCAGCATTCAAATAAATCACTGGTCTAACCATCAATATGTCATAAGTGGAAAAAAAGAAAACTACCCCAAAAGTCTATACTAATTTAAAATACTATCCCCAGTTATATTAAATAGGCATAAATAGCCCTAGTGGGTGTGGCTCAGTTGGTTGGAGCATCATCCTATAAACTAAAAAGTCATGGTTTTGGTTCCCAGTCAGGGCATTGTGCTTGGGTTATGGGCTCGGTCCTGGTCAGGGCACGTACAAGAGGCAACAGATAGATGTTTCTCTCCCGCTCCCTATCCCTCCTTTCACCACTCTCTGAAGTCAATAAACATGTCCTCAGGTGAGGATAAAAAAATAAAAAATTAAAAACAATAAATAGGCAGATGTCACATATTAATTACAAAAGGCATTTCATGTACTATTAAGCGCACATATAGTAAGAAAATGTAATAGGTAACCTGAAATTAAAGTACTTACTATATTTAACATTAAGCAATCTTACTTGTCATCTTACAATTTTGAGTGTTGCTAGGGAAACAGACAGCACAAGACTCTTTTAAAAAGATGTCCAAATATTTAAAAACTTTCTTTTGATACATTTTCCTAAAACTATCAGAGGCATTCATCCACCTCATTAATTCTAGAGGTATTTTTTTCACAGAAAACATTTTCAAAAGTAAGAGCTGACGTAATAGTGCCCTTTATCTTCTCTTCCCTTCTGAATTTACTCAAAACTAAAATTGTAAGGACTATATCACACAAAAGGTCATCTGGCCTAGCATTTATTGATCCTGTTGTTATTCGAGTATTTTTTCAGTCATGAGAAAACTATAGAAGGAGCTACCAGGCACAACCAGTTTTGAAAGGTATTTTATTATTTCAAAATATAATTTCTGCAAAATCATGACAGTTTTACCATGTCATTATTATCAATTTTTTAAAGTTTACATTCAATATTATTTTGTATTAGTTTCAGGTGTACAGCATAATGGTTAGACAATCATATACTTTACACAGTATTCCCCCTGATATTTCCAGTACCCACCTGGTAACATATATAATTATTAAAATATTATTGACTATATCCATAAGCTGTATTTTACAGCCCTGTGACTATTTTGTAACTACCAATTTGTACTTGATCCCTTCACCTTTTCAACCCAGTCCAATTCTCCTCCCTTCTATCAAGCATCAGTCTGTTCTCTGTATCTATGAGTCTGTTTCTATTTTTTTGTTTGTTTGTTTGTTTTTATGTTCTTTAGATTTCACATATAAGTGAAATCATATGGTATATTTTTTTCTCTGAGTGACTTATTTCACTTAGTATGATATCCTCCAGGTATATCCATGCTGTCACAAATGGTAAGATTTCATCCTTTTTTATGGTCAAATGATATTCTACTGTATATATGTTCCACTGCATTTTTTTTTTTTAATCCTCACCTTAGGGCATCGTTTCATTGCTTTTTAGAGAGGAAGTGGGGAGACAGAGAGAGAGAGAGAGAAACATCAATGTGAGAAACATCGATTAGTTGCCTTCTTGTTTGCACCCTGACAGCGGGGATCAAACCCACAGCCTTTCGGTCCATGGGACAGTACTCCAACCAACTAAGCCACACTGGCCAGGGCATGTACCACCACTTTTTTTTATCCATTCATCTGTTGATGGGCACATGGGTAGCTTCTACATCTTGGCAATTATAAATAATGCTGCAATGAACAAAGGTGTGCATATATTCTTCTGAATTTGTGTTTTGGATTTCTTTGGATATATACCCCAAAGTAAAATCATTAGGTCATAAAGAAGTTCTATTTTTAATTTTTTGAGGAAACAATGTTTTCTACAGTGGCTGTACCAATCTTCATTCCCACCAACAATGCACATGGGTTTTCTTTTCTCCACATCCTTACCGAAGCTTGTTATTTGTACATTTATTGATGATAGTAATTCTGACAGGTATGAAGTGAAATCTCATTGAGGTTTTAATTTGCATTTCTTTAATGATTAGTGATTTCGAGAACCTTTTCCTGTGCCATTTGGCCTCCTGTATGTCCTCTTTAAAGAAGTTTCTATTCAGGTCCTCTGCCCATTTTTAAATTGGATTGTGTGTTCCTTTGATGTTCAGTTGCAGAAGTTATTTTATAAATTTTGGATAGTAACTCTTTATGGGATGTATCATGGGTGAGTATCTTCTCCCACTCAGTAGATTATCTTTTCATTTTGTTGATGGTTTTCTGCTGCACAAAAACTTCTTAGTTTGATGTAGTCCCATTTATTTTTTCTTTTGTTTCCCTTGCCCAAGGAGATATATCAGGGGAAAAAAATTGCTAGTAAAGGCCATATATGACAAACCCACAGCTAACATCATATTCAATGGGGAAAACTAAAAATGTTTCCCTTAAAGTGAGAAACAAGACAGAAATGCCCACTTTCATCTAGCCATATTCTAGCCATAGCAATCAGGTAAGAAGAAATAAAAGGCATCCCAACTGGAAAGGAAGAAGTAAAACTGTCATTATTTGCAGATCACATGATACTGCATGTAGAGGACCCCAAAGATTCCACCAAAAAACTACTAGAACTATGAAATGAATTCAGTAGAGGGCACAAAATAAATATCCAGAAATGAGTTGCATTTTTATGCACCAATAATGAACTATTATAAAGAGAAAACAATCCACTTAAACTGCATCAAAACTACCTGGGAATAAATTTTACCAAGGAGACAGAGAGACCTATATTAGAAAATTATAAGACACAGAAGAAAAAAAAATGAAGCTATAAATAAATGAAGCACATACCATGCTCATGGGTAGGAAGAAATATGAAAATTAAAATATCCATACTACCCAAAGCAATCTAAGGATTTAATCCAATGCCTATCAAAATACCAATGGCATTTTTCACAGAACTAGAATATATAATCCAAAAAGTTATATAAAACAACAAAAGACCTCAAACAGCCGCAACAGTCTTAAGAAAAAAAGAACAAAGTTGGAGGTTTCATGATCCCTGGCATCAAACTATACTACAAAGCCATAGTAATCCAAAAAAGCATGATACTAGCATAAAAACAGACCCAGAGACCAATGGAACAAAATAGGGAGGCCAGAAATAAATCCATACCTATATGGTCAATTAATATATGACAAAGGAGGCAACAACATACAGTGGTGTAAAAATAGTCTATCAAGAAATGGTATGGGGAATTTTTGACAGATACATGCAAAGGAAAGGAAAGAGAGGGAAGGGAAGGGAAGGGAAGGGAACAAACAAACTAGATCAGCATCTAGCAAACTTAAAAATAAAAGCTTAAAAACACTTCGCCTTTGTATTCTGAGTTGGTCAAAAGGAATAAAGATAAACTGATACTGGCTGTTTATAAAGCAGAAGGAACTGTATAAAGTTTTCTGAGATGCTATTCTCACATGTGCTTTTTGTATTAAGAAAATCTGACTCGGCCAGATGAAATAAATCACACAACTTTTTTCCTTCACTTTCTCAAGGTGGTTTTCTCAACTTGGTTCAACGTATGAATGTTAGGCAAATTGTATTACATTATCTAGAGGTCTGGGGAAATATATTGTTTATTAACAAGAGCTAATTAAAGAAAAACCTAAATTAGAGAAACTGGTCACACAAATATCTAGCAGTATGGCTGGATAAAAAGTACCTAATCCTTCACACTAATACATCATGATGTATATTTCACCACAGTAATGAGATGAAAAAGCCTTCCTAGCCATATGTGTTTATGCAGCACCTAAGAATACTTGTTCCAGTCCTTAGTCAGTGATATCTTAGGTATAACTGTGGATTAATCCTTGATTTGGTGCCTAGGGAAGGGGTGCTGGTGGCCTTTGAAGCACCCTGTTGTAGTCGTTGCCCCCGTTGGATTAAGCGCTCTATACACCACTGTTCTTGCTGCAGCTGCTGCTTCTGATTTTTTAACAGGCTTTAGGTAGCCTGCAACTCCTGGCATTGCTGAGACTGCTGCAGTTATTCCTTCTGTAACGACAGGTTCTTGCTGCAGAAGCCACAGTAGAACTTAGAAGTATGCTTCCCCACAGCAATCTCCAAAGCCTGGGCCTTTTAAGCTCCTTTCTCTCCCAACAGCCTCATGTCAGACTCACTCAGTTATTTCCTCAGTAATGCATTTTCCTGGAGCAACTGGGCCTTGATTGCCTGTGACTTTGCAGCTGTCTCAGTTTGGGATTTGTTGAGCTTCCCCTGTAATGTCTGCATTTCTCTCTCCTGTTCTCCTCGAATAGTTTAAGGTCCCTCATTGCCTGCAACCGCTGCTTCAAAAGGGATTAGATATTTGCTTTCTGCAAGGACTCTTTTAAGCTCTGAAGTTTGTTTCCCATATTTGGAGGCTAGTTCTTGTCTCCTTCATTCAATTTTTCCACTATTTTTGTAAAGAGTCATCTCAAGCTTCTCCAGTTGCCTTCTATACACCTCAGTTTTGTTGGTCAGATGTTCCAGGAAGAATTTATTTTTCAGCCTGGACAAGTAACTTCAATGATGACCAGCTGCCTGGTATACTCCATGAGCAGTTTTTACTGGATCTGAGGGTCTTTTATTTGTTTGTTCAGCTCCTTCATTTCCCTTGCCTCTGTTGGCTTCAAAAAATTACTTATTAAACAAAGATATGATGTAGGGGAACTACTGGAATCCTCAGCAAGCTTCCTCTGCGAATCCAAGCATTCATCCCCCAGGTACTGGTAAGTTCACTGCGAGGGACTGATGACGAGGAGTTAGTGTCAGGAGCCCATGACACGCAAAAACAGTGTCCCTGTTTGGCCAGCTTACGCAGATTTTGGGTTTCTGGGCTCAGTGGGTCTCTGCACTACCTAGCAACCCCTAGGGTCACACCCCAATCTAGTCTTGGTCAATACAGCACTGAGCAGCTTAACCTCCTTGGCCTGATAAGCCTTAGCAGTCAGTTTTCCAGCAGCTTTGGGGGCAAAAAGTGAAACCTACTCTCTTTTTCATGAGATCCCCCGTCCTGGGAATTTCATCTCCTATGGTTCTCCTGAGGAGCTGAGCTTTGACCTTCTTAGGCCACCCCTACCAACAGTGAATGCCTTTTTCTTGCCCCCACCAAGCCCTCCTCACAGTGCCTCCAATCCCCAGAGTTGGCTCCCACGCAAGCCTGGGACAGTAAGATGCTCTGGCATTCTTTGGCTTTCCACTTTTGAGCCAGTTCCAGCCAGCTGCAGTCTCTTCATAGCACCAAAGGTCGTGTAAGTCTCTCTAGCCACACAGCATCTCTGTGGCAGAGCAGGCCCAACCAGGAAGATGTAGTAGCACCAGCAGCTGAGCCACAGTCCTGGGGGCTGCATGCTTGGGCCCCCACTGTATCTGTTGGTGTTGGGAATGGCAGGATCTACATCAATTACCCTCTAAAGTAACAATTTTTTCATGGCATGAAGAAATTACTATAATCAGTAAAATATGAGCAAATTAAATTTTAGAATGAGAAGTCATTCTGTATGCAGCAATTATCACTTAAAGAATATAGTCTTTCAAATAAGGCAATTATTTTTCTTATCATGCCTTTTTTCCCTTCTTCATGTCAAAGTAATGAAGGGAGGTTATCAACCACTGGAAGACCTTGGAGAAATCAAGAGGAAATGGAATTATGAAAATAAACAAGAAATAGAGCTTTTGAACAGGAAAAGTAATACGGAATTGAGAATTGGTACAGATATGTAGACATGTGTTGAAGTGAGTGGGAGAAACTAAGAATTTTCTGCCACTCTAACTCTTGATGCTCTGGGCACCCTGAGGAACAGCACCACAGAGGCACTTAGGGGTTTAGGTTCTTTCATCTGTTAAATACTGTGACACACTAAACAACAGTTTCTATTTTCAGGAAAACTTCGTCCTATTTCTATATGGGCTCTCACACAAGAACTCTTTTCCAGTTCCCAAAAAGTATTTTCTCTCTCAGCTTTGCAGACTCAGGCAAAAAGAATGCCTTCCTCATCCAGGAAATCTTTGGGTCAAAAAAAGCAACGTTAACAGCGCAGATGAGAACATGTACCATAAATTTAAAATGGCACCAATCTGAATAATTATGTAATTTCACCCTGGTATATTCAGCGACCTTACCATGGAAACGGGGAGACTAAACTGCAACTCTGATGGGCATCTTGAAGGCAAGGAGGACAATGATGAGAAAGTCATTTAAAGGGCAATGATGAACTTCAGGTTCAGCAAAGGATATACTGTAAGTAGGTAACTAATGGACTCAGAGAAAGTAAAGATGTCAGGATCTGGAGGTCTCAATGAGGATAAACAGAGAGCAAGGTCCATGAAGTGAGGGAGTGAGAAAAGTAGATTAAATTCAGAATAGGACACTGAAGTGTAAGATTTAAAGGTAGGAAAGCCCTAATACTAACAAAATCTATCTAAGATTATGGGAACGAACTGCTGAAAGGGATGGAATGAAAATAAAATTTATAGAAGTTGAAACAGAAGAATTAAAAGACATGACCCAAGACGATGACACAAGTCAGTGGAAAGCCAGCTGCCAAAACTCTTGATAAGTACTGAGGACTGGTCTAAATCCTCAATGGTACTGACTTCGCGGTCCAAAGGCAACACACCTCGGAGTTTGTTAAGAATGCAGAATCTAAAACCCCACCCCAGGCTTGCTAAATCAAAATCTGGGTGATATGTGAACAGATTCATGTTCGAGAACTTAATTGATATAGGTATATGGCTAATATATAATAGAAAAGAAGAAGATAGAAGTGGATGGTCCCATGGCATGAGCTTTGAAAGAGAAGTGAGATTTTTTTTACATACAATGGTTAAGGAACATTGATTTTATAGTGTCAGTGGAGAATTAGGCAAATTCTAAGAGTTAATAAGGATCACATATATTCTTTTAATATTTTGATATGGTTTTCCTATCACCTTGCTCTATGTTTCTCCAGGCTTATATATATCTTCTGTCTTTGGCTTTGTTTTGTATTCATATATGCATACACACATATACCGGAGAACATCAGTTCTTGAACTTCATTCATTCTGGAAGGTCATTTGTTCGAAAACCAAATCTCATTTGTTGACAGAGATCTGTGACTGACTGATCATACAGGTATCAGTATAAAAGGGTTGTTGGGTCAAGAACCAAAGTTTTGCTTGAAAACCAAGACGTGTGTGTGTGTGTGTGTGTGTGTGTGTGTGTGTGTGTGTGTCTGTGTGTCTGTGTGTGAAAACTCTATCAAGAATGGAATTGTCTGAGATGAAAGACATCTGAAAACTGAGGTTTGACTGTACCCACATTTACATACATCCCATTCTATAATCTAATTGACAAACAGTATTTTCAAACTACATAGTCTATCCAACCTTGTTAACAGACCAGCTCCATGTATAATAGAAATATTGTCTGCCTAGCCACCAACATTTTAAAACTGAATATAAATTCACATATTATATAGTAGACTTTTCCCCCATATTCTCCCTGACGCCCTTCTTTATAAGACAGGGAATGGATACACCTATTCAACAAAACATGATTTTTAAGAATACCTATTCATAAATCACTACTAGAAAGATTCCAATGAAACAGAAAAATTGGAAAGCTTAGTTCGTTTTAGAGACACTTTTTCAAGTGGCAAATAAAAAAACCTCATTATTAATCAACTAATCAACTAAGAAATGTTTTAAGTGCTACCAGAAATGCTCAAATTTGAAGATATTGCCTCTCCTCACACTATAGTTGACACATTCCTGCCTTGGACTATCCGCATTTTCATTGTCTTCTTGGGAGTAAGAAAATGCATGGAAAAATAATATTGAAATCTATTCCTCAAAGTACCTGGGAGCATATCAAATAATGAAGTATATAATAAAAACAGGGGTGGGACAAAGGAACTGTTGAGGACCCCTCCACCCCCGCCATGCACACACCCAGTGAATCTGTGATCCAGACTCACAACATTTAGCTTGTTAAAAAAAACTGCAGAAAGGAAAAAAAACCCACTGATTATAGTACTGTGAGGGTTGTAGCCTCTGGTGAAGAAATTCCTAATTAGCGAACAACCCATGTAACTAGCCACCTCTTACCGCAGCCCTCCAAAGAATTTGACTCTCATATTATTTTCTTTCCTGAGTAACTGACAAAGTTCCCATTGCCTTTGGGATACAGCCTGAAGATAACAAGTCAAAGTAATTTTGGTAAAACTAAACATATTAAATATCTTGTTCACAATATGTGAGTTATAACAAAAGTAGTGACAATAGCTCTTTTTAAAGTTAGTAAATAGCTACTTTTTTTAAAGATTGTGTTTATTTATTTTTAGACAGAAGGGAGTGGAGGGAGAAAGAGAGGGAGAGAACATTAATGTGTGGTCATTCCTTGAGCACCCCCTACTGGGGACCTGGCCCGCAACCCAGACATGTGCCCTGATGGGAAATGCACCAGTGACCCCTTGGTTTGCAGGCTGGTGCTCAGTCCACTGAGCCACACGAGCCAGGGTGGTAAATGGCTATTTTTAAAGCCACCAAATTCTCAAGTGTTATATTTAAATATAAAGGTAATCATGCAAAATTTATAATAGGCCAGCACTGAACCATTACAATGATTTCTTAAGTAATAAATGAGCTTATAAATAAAGAGCATTTAAAAAAAAATAATACTTAGAATAAACAAAAAGGAATAGATGAAAGGGTTATGAGTTCAAATTGCCTATACTCTTTCTATATTGGAAGAAAGAAGTCATTCAACTATGAAGTGCAACTAGCATGAACAGAATAATTTAATCACTTTTGTAGTGAATGCTGAGTATATCCTAATGAGAAGATGTATAAGTAGGATGCTTATAATGAACACTATCAAAGATTAGGGTAATAATCATACATATGGTCTACTTGACTTATGACCAAGGTGTCACTGTAATTAAGTATTGGAAAAATTGGATATCCATATGGAAAATATAATTAATCTTCACCCTTATTGTATACTCTTTTAAAAATTAATTTGAGAGGGATCATAGACCTAAGTGTGAAAGCTAAAATAATTAAGCTTATAGGAAAAAAATATAGGGAGATATTTTTATACTCACTAATACATTTCTTTTGTTTATTCTGCTATTAAAGCACTTACTGGGCTCAAAGATTTTAAAACAGTTACATATAAGCCATAAAGTCACAGGCCTATAAGACCAGAATCTTCAACCATCTAGTCTCTATGAACAGAGATTAATCAAATCAGTTTTATAAAAGGTCTTTGAGACCCTTCAATGTGGAGTGTGATTACACTTTTCTCAAAAGGTATTGCTGATTACCCACCTCGCATGCACCTTTTTTTCCTTATGATATTGGTAATAGCATTGGTACTTGTAGTTACTAAAGTCAGATCATTTACTCATGAAGAGACTGTCCAGAACTTTTATTCTAAGAACAAGAACAAGCCTTCCCTCCATGTTTATCTAATATATCTTATAGGGGAATATTTTTGTGAGTAGGGTAGGGAAATATTTCTTAAATAATATTATTTCTTAATAATAAATCTAAAAGAAAAGAGTGGATAATCTGGATTTAAATACAAGCCAGAGATTAAGAGAAGATATGTGCAACACATCTGATAAAGGACTCATATGCAAAATATATAATGAATTCCTATAAATCAATAA